CTTGATGTAACTCTATTTGCCAGACTACCTAGTACATGTGATTTCCAAAGAAGAACTTACGATGTAGCTCCTCTGTTTCTCTGTCCAGTTTAGCAGAATCCTTGTTTGCTGAATGCTGCTTGTTTGAAGCAGCACCAACTGTTTGAAAGCAAATGATTTAAGAGCTATTAAAGATTAGAATTAAATATAATTTCATGGAAACTTCAGAGGAGAGCTGCTCTGAGCTGTTCCATTGAAAAAAAGTGCACTAACATTGTCTGTGACTTCCCAAAACCATCCCATTCTTTGGTGACTGAGCATTGTTCTATAATATCAAAATTAAAAGTGGTGTATATGGTTCCCAAACTCATCCTGGTCTCCTTGGAATATTGCTTCCCCCCTTCCCCCCAGATACAGCATTAGTCCATCAAAGCTTTTCCCCCAGTATCCAGTAAGGCTTGCCTGACAGTTTGCCAGTACTTGTGAGACTTAACCCTTTAGCTCCCAGGAGTGACAGAAACAGAATTTCTCCCTATAATATCAATACAATATCAAGCAGACAAGTATTGAGAATAAAGAAAAATCTCAATTAGGGGATTATTAGTTGATCCAATATCAAAATCTCCAAACTAACATCATAAGAATTATATAGCATACAGTAAGGAGCATTACTAATTAAATCTGGGGGTTGAGTTAACTATTGACCCCAGACCTCTTGACCCCAGACTTCTTGACCCCAGACCTCTTGACCCAGAGTTGCACAAGTTTACTGTCAGACCATGGTTCACCTTCTGTAACAACATGGTGTCACATTCTAGTTTTCAATATTCTTTGAAAGTTAAAATGAGCAATTTTGAATGAAATTCATGAGGATTAAGAGTAGAGTAATTCTGGGTTGATTCAAGAAATGAAGTTGCCATTTTTATTCAAAAGTGAAACTTTTCAATTGTTCAACTTACATTTTTGTGATGTTTCCACCTGGCCACCATGTCTTTGTGCTTGTGCAACAGCCTTAAAGGCACCAAAAAAAACATTGTTTGAACATAACCATTTAATTACAGGTAAATCTGGCTAGAAACTATCTCAGGTATTGTGACTTTTGAGTAGGTTGGGGCTAAATTGGTCAGTAAACTTGGATCTCCTCAGAACACATTTGCAGCCAAAATGGAAAAGATCTCAACAGAATTTTAAGGATTTAGAGTTCCAAAGATTCCAACTTTTCAAGAGCTTTTATAAGTGTCAACTTTAATATTCATTTATTTATGCTGTATAGGATTATATCTGTTTATTATTGAGAAATCGTCTTTTACAAGTTGCGTATAATCTGGCATGAGTGTAATTGCTTTGGGATTTTTTAACCCAACTTTCTTTTTTAGATGGAAATTAATGAAGAGTTGAAAGTTCTTACATGTGTTTGAACTAATTCATGGTAAACAGGTTATGGATTTTTTCATGTACAATTATTTAATCTATGTTTGCACAAAACATCCCATATAATTTAATCACTCAAATATGGCAGCAAGTTCTAGATCAGGAGTTCCAAGATAAAAATCCGTGGGGTAACCCAAAATCGTATGGCAATTTTAGGACAGTACCCCACTACACTCTGGATTGGTGAGAGTTGTTGCATGCTTGTCCCAGCGGTTTACAATCCAGTTTTCATTGTCTAAGCTATGGGTTTCACATCATTGTAACGAAGTATATGAAATGAACGACTATGCAAGTTCTCAGATAAATACAGTGATTGCTTTTTCTGATGTAAGCTAGCTTACTTTACCAAAATCTTCCATTCTTTCACTTTTCTGCTGAATCTTGCATTATCATAATAATAATATTAAGGAATCAGATACCTGTTTAGATTTCAGTTCTGCCGCTCTAGGTGTTTTCTTTCGCAAGTAAGTTACTGAGTCCCAGTCGGATTCTGCCATTTCTACTCTGTCGAGTGTTCCTGTAGAAATCGAGAAATATTTAGCCAACGAGTTACCTCGTGAAATGAAATAGACCAAAACAAGATTGAGTGGAACTGAGCATGCGTTATCTTCAAACGCTGGCTGATATACAGCGGGCTCGCAACTGTCATCCTCCATGCAACTATTGCAACAGACTTGGCAACAATGGATTGGTAAATTTATTAACTTCTTTTTCATAAATTAAGACTATCAATCAAAAAGTATTTATTTAATTCCAAATGCGCAACCTGTAACTTTTTTGGCACTAGCCTGTTTTTGGAGCCTAGGAACGAGGTTGCGTTGACGTCTCTCGTGCAGGGCCTGGGTTCGCTATCTAACATGGCGACGTTGTCAACAGCTTTCTCTGTTATTCTAAAAAACCTATTTTTCAAGTTGTATTCCCATCTAACTTGACCTAATGGGTAAGTCAACGGAAGAGAAACTTTTCTACTACATAATGACGGGGAAACTTCATCGTGTGCGATCTCTTTTCAAGAAACACGAAGCTTCATATTTAACTGCCTTAGTTGATCGTAAGGGCCGAACAGCTTTGCACGCCTGTTGTCTTCTTGGAGATGATGCAATAATGAGACTTTTGTTGAAGAACGGAGCCAATGTAAGAGCTACAGACAGTGATGGCAATACGCCTATTCACTTAGCATTGAGATTCGCTGTTCAAACAGTTCGATTCTCGACATACAATGATCTGATTGTACCGTTACTCAACTACTGTGACAATCCCCATGTTCTTGACGAAAGAAACAATGAGGAAAAAACGCCCAGAGAGTACCTTACGGATTTAAAAAGGGCATATGCTCAGAGAAGGGAAGAACTAGAGGCTGAAAGGAAAGAGCGTTGGCATAAAGAGCACGAGGAGAAGTCAAGATTGAAGGAAGATCTTGAGTGGGAAAGAAAACTACAGTTTGAAGAAAGTCAAGAAAGTTACAGTAAATATTGCCAGGATGATTACATTGATAACATGAAAGAAACATATGATGAGTGGGCTGATAGAATTACGTACGAAAGAAGACAAAAAACTGAAGCGAAGAAGCAACAGAAGAGGGAAACAAGAAAGTCAAGCCGGCAACGAAATGAAAACGAACGGAAAGCGAGAGAACGAACTAGACAACTTGAGAAGGAACACGAAGCTTATCTAACGCGGATTTCCGTAGAACGTCAGAAATTGAAACTTTCAAAATCATTAGCAGATTATGAATCCAACTGCACAGCAGTATTCTGCAGTAATTCGACAGTAAACCTCACGTTCGTTGATATACCGTGGCCCACAAAGGGTGGTACCAAAGACATGATTGCCCTTTTGGGAAATTGGTCAGAAATTAAAACGATAGAAGAAAAAAGAAAGTTTTTGAAAGAACAGCAAGTGAGATGGCATCCTGATAAATTTCTTCAAAGATGTGGTAACAGGCTAGATTCACAAGACAGAGTTAAAATAATTGAGCAAGTAAATGAACTGTCTAAAGAGATAAATGCCTTGGTTGAGGCTGAATAATTATGGACGCTTCAGATGTAGATATGGTTAATAAAAATGACTTTCAGAAACATAGTTGATGTTGTTTTCCCCAACTTCCTCTCAAGTTGTGGTGCCTAAGGCTTGTTGAGTTGGTATTATGAATTCTTGAGCAATATTAGATTACCTTTGTGGGTTATAAGGTTATGCTGCAGAGAATAATCAACAACTATTCTCTGAAATGGAGGTGGCTAGTGGTGAAGATTTAGCAAACCTCAAAGTAGAGAGGTAAATACCCACTGTTAGCCACTGACATTGCAGTGAACAATTGATACTGTAGTTACTTAAACAGTGAGATAATATAGCACTAAAAGATAATTTTGGCTTATTTATTCTTGCAGTTTTTACAATATTCTGGGTGCCAATCCTGTGCAAGTTGCTTGGAGGTGGATAGCAAAGGATATTAAGAGTTTAAGGAGCCAATCAGGGTGTGCCCACATTACTTAAGGCTTAAGGTGTGGATCTGACACTTTTCCACAGTCATCAGCATGGAAATGATTAGAGGTGTGATGGACAGAGCAATGCTTCTGGTAAAAAGGGGTGAAAAAATGCCTAGACAAGAGAAATTCAGCAGGGTTTCCGTTGGAGGAGTCAACCTGCCTTGTTTTTTCTCTAGCTTTCTCTCCTTTAGGGCACATCCTCTGAAGGAGGAGTGAACTTTCCTTGTTTTTTCTCTTGCTTGCCCCCTCTTTTCAAACATATACACACACCAATTGCCTAGGACAGGTATGTTATAATAGAAGGCATAGCTCACATTTCCCTCCCCACCCCAAAATCAGATGAAAAATCACAACAAAACATGGAACAAATAATGTAAACATGTCAATAGTGATTTAATTCATTATTCAATAACTGTACAGTTCCACCATGGATCAAACAATAAACAGAGCAACAAATACTTAACTCTTTCACACCCAAGTTCTAAATATCAATTAACTGCTTTGTCTGCTATACATTTTCTACAATTTCAGTTCTAGGAATTTGGTGCTAACTCTAATAATATCTCGTAGTTGTCATTTATTTCTATTCTCATCTGTCTGAATGATCGCATAATGATATTGTAAGGAGCAACTACTTTTTGGCCACACCCAGGAGTGAAAGGGTTAAGTGCATGAGCTACAAGAAGACACCTTCTCTCCTGAAATTAACATTTTGTCGTGAGCTGTGTTAGATTAACAGGATACCATGCCCAAAGATAGGAAAAGAAACTTCCTGTTAATTATGTCTGGTCAAAAGAAAGTAGAGTCTTAACACTAAAGGTGCAACAACAAATGTTTTGAAAATTATCAGGGGCAATTTCTTAAGAAAGTTTATCTCAAGATAAGAGTGTGGAAATAAATAACTTTTAACCAAGAGAGGTGTCTTGAAAATGGTTTTAGTCATGCAGCCTGTATCAGATGTTAAGCTAGTAAAATGTATCACGATAGGAAACAGTGCTACAGCAGCAGAGGAGTGAAAGAAAGACATAGGTTTGGGTCATGTAATGAACTTTACCTGACCCTGACCCAGACCTTTCTTGCTTTTTCACTCCTCTGCTACTGTTGTGCCATTTGACAGTTTGCTCCATTTCATCAACTGAACACCTGGAACAGGGTATTAGTCCTGATATATCAGCTTCACTTCAATATCTAATTCAAGGGATTTACACTACAACTTGTCAAATTGAAGGTTGCATTATACTTCAAAAATAACAAGCATATATAAATAAACCTAATTTGAAAGAGAGCAGTACAGTGACATGTACAGTCATGTAAATAGTGTTATTTCTGACCAATTGAGCCTATTACAAACACAAACTCTTTTTGAATTCTAAAGCCAAACTAGAGAGAATGCATGTTAATCCTTTTTAAGTACACAATAAATGACAAGTGCAGTCTCTAAAGTTCGCTTCAATCATTTGTGCTTTAGAATTGAGCAACAAAATAAACTAAGGATACTCTAATATCATAAAAGTTGAAAGTAATAAACTAAGGATACTCTAATATCATAAAAGTTGAAAGTAATAATAATGTGACATGTGAAGCGTACATGTTGATGTAACTAATGAAACAGCCATCAAACTTCAGTCTAACGCTCAGGGAACATGTCACAATTAATTCTCTGTCGAGCCTTTTCCTTGCAGTACTTCTTGTGGGAAGGCCAATCTCTCTGTAGAAATCAAACACAAGGATTACCATCCAGTGGTTAAGTTCACGATGCCTCATTTCACATTTAAATCAGGTTTGGGCATCATCATCAGATTAACCCTTTAACTCCCAAGATTTGATAGTTAATTCCCCACTCTGGCTATTACACATTTCCTTGTAAATTAGTTATGAGAATTTGGTGTTACATCAAGATAATAACTTCTAGCTGATAATTTGAGTATTCTCATTAATTGTTTAGTTACTATAATTATTATTAGACACTATTTAATTTACTTCCATTCTGTAAAACAGTGGACTATACAAATCACAATTCTAAAATTTTAAACTGAAACTGTTTAATTATTTTCTGTTCACTGACCCACCTCTTGACAAAGAGGTCCACAGTATCTGACTTGCTGGCACTGTCCACAAATACTGAACTCCCGTAGCTACAACCAAAGAGTACACACGAATTTCAATGAAATAATCATATACTCAGCACCGAAAAAAGGGCAATAAACATTGTAAGGACAGAGGTTCAAAAATAAAAGTGCACATTGGAACTCAGCCTACAGCCCTCAAACTTGATTAAAATGTTTAATTAATTTTCCACAATTGCATAATTGCAGTTCACCCTTAAGCGCATAAGAGTGTCTGGCTCCTAATTTCTCCTTACAGTATCACCCTTGAATGAAATGTAAAGATCATGAGAATAATGTAAATGAATCCCAATTTAAGAAGCTCCTGATTGTCAAACAAATTCTCCTTGTCATTACCACAGGAAATGTGGAGAGATCAGTGTGGAGAATATGAATGCTATTTTTAGGGTGTAAAGGGTTAAGCTGGGAGAACATTTTTCCAGGGGGGGGGGAAGGAGGGGGGTACTGAACTACTTGGCACTCAGAAAATGGGCATGTACTTCCAAACAGGGTATGGTTTGCAAAGTCCTGAGTTTAACATAGTGTGTAAAATTTTTCTATCTGGACTGGAGGCCTTCAGCAGAGGGTGTGAATTGGCAGCATGTGATATATGTGTACATTACTTATAGTTTATAAGTTTTCAAATCTAGTTGTAAATATTCTGTCTAAAAATTCATGCATTTGGCTCAAAGAGGTAAAGATGCCACAAGTCAAAATAAATTTTCAAATCTTTTGTTTTAACCCCTAAGAGTGACTAGCATCCAATTTCTCTTTAAAACATCACCCCTAAATCAAATATTAAGGTCACAAGAATAAAGGAATTGATCATCAATAAAGGAGGCTCTTAATTGTCATACAAACTCTCCTTGTCATCAACTTAGGAAATGTATAGAGGTGTAAAGGGTCAAACAAAGTGGCAAAACAAGAAGATTTTGCTCCTAAACAAGCTCAAGGTTTTAAGGCCTCAGAGGTACACTTAACTCAAACAAAGGAAGTAAAGTAATGTAAAAATAAAAAATAAAAAAAATTATAAACTTGTCTACTAAATCAACTAATCATCATAAGCTCAGGAAGGCCAGCAAGGAGGGAAGAAATATCCAGTTGTAACATTTTCAGTAACTGGACACTGGGCTTTAAGTTTGATGATCCACCAATCAAGAGATAAGACTGACCTCAGTTTCCATTTTACAGCAAGGGGGGTAGTGGCACTCATAAAAAGATAAGGTATCGTCTGGAAGAAAGATAAGAAAATTCAGGAAAATTTCAAATATTAATGGTACATAATGTAATATGATACACAATCCTGATATTTCACTCCTTGAGGTAGTCAATAAGTACCTGTAATATTCCAACTACAATATAAACACTTCGTCACATCAATAAAAGGCAAATATTGGCTAGCCTGTTCCAGGTTTTTGGTAAGTAAAACATTATGATGGTTACCGGTATGGCTGTTGTTGAGGTGAATTATGAGGGAGGTTTGGGGCGGGTCACTATGAGTTCTTTATTAACTTGACCCAAACCTTCCTGGCATTTCCACTCTGCCACTATTATTGCCTCGATTACTATTTCAAGCTGTTTGAATGATCATCAACCAGGGAAAATTGATTGAAAACACAATTATTTGAATTGAAATACAATAAAAAGTATGGCACTCACTAAGGAGAACACTGCTAAGATGTTGAGACAGACAGACATTGAAAAAAAAAGTGAAGTTTGCATCACTGACCATTGGGAAATTATAGATTGAACAAATTTAACTTTCTTACCTTCTTCTAATACTTGTTCCCCATTTGCGTTATAACACTTGTAGTTTAAATTCATAAAATGCTGTGAATATAACAGAATAAAAGTCATGTCCAAAGTTAATAAGACATGAGGAACCAAGCTCTAGGTCATGACACACGGACCTCACTCCGCTCAACCTGTACATTATGAACTTGAGCCAAATATTTTACCCACCTGGCCCTCCCTCTCAGTCAATAGTTAATATTATGTTGTATGCTGGGTAACTGCTGTTGGTGTGGTTGATTATTGCAATCATCAATGAATTATGATCCTTGTTTTACTTCTCACCAAGTTAATAATGTCTTTCACGTGACATGTGTATATGAATAAATCTAAAATATACCCTAGCCAGCCAATACCATAGCAAAAGGCTGACTAATGGAAGAACCCTTTGTAGCAAACAACTCCCATCATGAGTAATTTCATTGGTTCTGATCTTCGCCTTAAAGCAACTAATAAATTAAAAATTTGTTACTAATAAGCTCTTTTGCTGACTGTCTTCACTTGATGTTTTACCATCTATAGATTTAAACCATAAACCATTTGACCTCTCAGAGTGATTAGCATGTAATTTCTCCTCACAACATCACCCCTGAATCACACACTGTGGTCAAAAGAATAAAGGAAATGATCACCAACTAAAGGTGCTCTTGTTCGTTAAACAAATCATCCTTGTTATTACCTTAAAAAATGTGTAAAAAAAACAGTATGGAGAATAGGCAAACTGATCTTATGGTGTACAGGGTTAAAAACAGTCAGCAAAAGTTTGCAGATGACTTGCTCTTGTACCTCATGCTCTGCCTCAAATGGAGGCAGTCTACACACAGCCATCCAGTATAATCTTTGGTCTTCCCGAGGTTCACTCCCACAGTTATTACTATGACCAGCACTGAAATGTAAAATTCAATATTCAATCACCCTACTATACTGCCATGACTAGTAAGTAAAAATAAAATGCAAACAATTGTTAAGTTCTACACTGTGGTAAGTAGATACCCAGAAATATGCTCCACCAAGGGATAAATAAGGACATTCCTCCAAAATAGATTGCAAGAAAGACTTTCCCAGTCACTTACTACTCATCTGAGGTAACTCAGGAATCGAAATACAAATTTAAAAGATTCCTATGTTTTTGGAACTTAATATTCTAGTGTTAGAGGTTATTAGTACTGGTTGCCTTTTGAAAAAAATTTTCTCTTCAAACTCTTATAGCAGAAAGAGAGAGACCAAGAGATCACAATTAGGCTTGCTTAAGCCTCCCCCTACATCTTGAGTCATCTCCCATTGACAATTTTCCGCTTCATAACATTAAAATCTTAGTTAATGTCACAATAATGATAACAACTATGATCATAATAACTTAATAATTATGATGATGATGATGATGATGACATATCTGCTGTACCTATCAGCACTGCTGGACTTTACTTTTGAGTCTTTGCTTTGAGGGGATGGTACTACACACAAGTTATTTAATCTGTTGTCTGTGAAATAACAAAATGATGAAGGTAGAAAAAGTTCATATCATTTTCCTGAAAGCTGTTCAAATAGTTGCAATGCACAACAGTAAAATATGATAACAGACAATCATTTAAGAGAAGTTTCTGAAGACTAATTAAATAAAAGTCAGTCTATGACAGCATGTGCCTACTGTTGTACAGCTATAGAGTATAAATGCAGTAAAAGAGTAATGTGGTGTAAAATCCAAAGGGGCTAATGAACAGCTGTTGTCAAAGCCAAAATTGTGATAAAAGGAGGCATTGACTGGAACAGACTTGTGCATTGGTTAATTGACAGGCTGGGGACAGAATAAATACATTTATTGAATGTGCATCAAATGTATTTTATACAAAACTTTGCCACTTTGGAAGTGGCAAACACCTTTTGAGAAAGTATTACGGACTTACACAACACCGTAACATCTCTAACATCAGTAGGCACAAAAATTGTTTGTATGTAAAATTAAAACAATAACTAAAGATAAATAACATTCATCTTTAATCCAATTAATGATAATAGCCACTCTCTGAATTGACTCAAATGGGTTTTTAAACTTAATATGTGCTCATTAAATTAATGACTTTATCAGGATGCTGAAAACTCAAAGGCAATTCCTTATCCTTACGTTTTGTTTCAGAAATGATTTTTTAAAATTTCTAATGATAACTTACCAACTGTTACACCATTTTTGTGACAAACTCTAAAGCCAGGTGCTATGCCACCACAATGTCTCTCCCTAAGGTAAAAACAAGAACAAAGGTATTAAATGTAAAAATGAAGTGTTTGCAGAAGATAAACAAATGAAATGATTCTGGTCATGCAAACTCCACCCTAAGCTTTACATCCTGTTAAGATCAGACAATGCATAAAAAAAATCCATCATAAGCTCTTCCATGACTTTCCATTACATTCTACATTGTTTTGATTGTTAGAAAAATACTTTCAAAATTATGAACTTTCAAATAATATATACAGCCATTATCATATTGTCATGATTATCTCTATGAAGACCAGTCATGGTTCTGCACATACAAATAATATGGTGCAATACAGTCACAGGTATGTATCATTACACCACTTTACTTTAGACAAAAGATTTCACATGTTCATCTAAGTTAATGTTTCACTATTTGAAACAAGTGTAGTTGTAAATGCCTTGAGGTCCCTTTCAGTTAACTGAACCAATTATTTATTTATCGTTTTTTATACATGTACTTGGTAAATTAGACTACTGTTCTCAGAATTTTTGCCAGACAAATGCCAAGCTTCAGAATTGATAAGTTATTCAAGGGTGAGTTACCTTTATTAAACGAAAAAGGCAAGACTCACTACTATTTAACAACATTCTTGTTTATTTAATGATTGGAAAACATTCTCTCTTAAGGGCTAGTCAGAGAGGCAACAAAACACTTCCTTACCAAATATATTCATGGAAATAGCATCCACTTGTTCCTTCTCTTGACAAGTCAAATGCATATGCAAAGATGTTAGCACCATTACCATCTTTATTGACATCAACTTTTGCCTGATGAAACAATACAAAGCTTTTACCGTAAATCCACAAACTAAAAACAGGGAAAAGGAATCCATACAGCATACAAGTGTAATAGCATGATGCTATGTAAAAATGCAAATCAAGTATTAATAAGTCATTTTTCAGAGACACCTTACAGGCACATGAGCATCTTTGAATATTAAGCATCTTTGCTTAAAATGACTATGTTTTGCATTCCAGTTACAAAACAACAAAAAATAATGTAGCAGATTATATCTCTCAATTAAAATCTGCAATATGGTAGGTCAAATTAGCAGGCAGTATTTCACTGTATGGCCAGCTAAATTCAAAAGTTTGTTTGATTAGATTTCTTCCTGTCTATTTGAATCAAGAGATAGATTAAATATTGTACCAATCTCGTTACCTTGGTCACTACTGTAAGTTACAGACCCCTGTTTTCTTACCCCTTGGATTTATAGTCTGAATGCTTTTCCCTACTGCTATAAATATCAGCTGAAAAAATGAGGTCCATAACTTAATGTGCAGACCCTTGATTTTGGATGAACCTTGCATTGGTAACACAAAAAAAGAATTGATAAACACTGTAAGGTTTCACTGAGTTAGTGTGGGAAGAGAAAATTGAAATCACCCACCTCAAATCGAAACTTTTTCACTAGATGAACATCTTTTTCGTCAAGAAGAGAATATTTGTGCTACAAAGGA